TCACCCCTGCTGGCCTCCTCGCTCCAGAGCAGAGCCTCCGAAATTTCTTGACGCAAAGTGCTTCAAGTCCTTTTGAGTGCCCTCCCGACCGAAGCCCTGCCCCGATCAGCACAGCGACGGAGGAAACGTGGCAGAGCTATGCAGAGCGCCAAGGCGGAGCGCGGCGGAGCGCGGGAAGACCAAGAGTCCCCTTCTTGCCGGGAAAAGCCGGAAGAGGAACCAGACCGCGCCTGGGGTGCCGCGGCTTCCGGCCCAAGCCAAGGGCAGGCTCCGGCGCCTGTGGCGAGGGCAGCGGATGGGAGGCTAGCGCAGCTCAGGCAGCCCTGGCCAGCCTTGGCCTCCCATCTCCGTGTCTCCCCATGCCAACGGTGGCCGTTCGGCTGGGGCGCTGCCGTTGCACACCGTTTCACTCGTCTCCCTCACTCTTGGGCCGCTGAAGGCTGGCTTCACATCCCCCAGATCCCAGATCCGCCTCGTATTCCGGTTGCCGGATCAACCATGCATCTTTTTTCCTCCTCCGCTTGCCCGGGTGCGGTTTGGCCAGAAGCCACTGCCAGACAAGATATGTAGGGCATGCCGGGATGCTCGGGCACTGCAGAATCAAAGCACAGGATCTAAGCTACGAGCCGATCCTGTCCGAGAGAGCGTTGGGGAGCCTACCGCCGTAGACTCTTCATGAACTCTTTTGAGAATGCTCGGATGACTGAACACAAGGCCCAATGATGGGGCGACCGGGCTCCCAGAATGCAGGTTGGCGTGTTGACATGAGTCGGATCTGTACAGGAAAGCTCGCAGCTTGGCCAACCCCGTCGTCAACGCTCTTCCCTGCGCTTGCGGCCATGGGCAGATCGGGACCGCACCCCGCGGGTCCCGAAGCTCCCGAGCAACGAATTCTCCCACGCCTTTGTGGATGCCATTGGGTGCCAGTCTGCACAAAAAACTGCAACCCCTACAGCGGCCCCAGAGTTCCTAAAGCCTCAAACTTCACTCTGCAGCTGCCTCAGTTTCGCAGTCTCAGAATCGAGTGTCTTCGCCGGGGTCCGCGCCTAAGCACCTCTCGCAGACTGCTCGGCCTTGTCAGGATCGAAGCTTCAGCCAAGAACTGCTCGGCCGGACTCCGGGCCCCCCACGCCAAGGAGCCTCGTGCCAGAGCGAGGAGCTGCCGCACCCGCACCCGCACCGCCCGCACCCTCTCACCTCCGCGAAACAAAACCACGCTTCAACCGCTTCCCGCTGCTGCTGAGGCTGGGACCCTCCTGATGCGCGGCGGGCTCGGCACCTGAGAAGAAAGCCCGAAACCCTGCGTCCTGTGCGCGCGCGCCCCCTTGGGCCTTGCAGCTGCAGCATGGATTGCTCTTGCATCTCTCGTCCACGCCGGAGCAGGGCCGCGGGAAGCAGCTCCTCCGCTGCTCGCAGGCCGTAGCTCTCCTCCGCCTTCTCCGAGAGGGCCTCAGAGACAGCAGAGCGGAGCAGAGCGGAGCAGAGCGGAGCAGAGCGGAGCAGAGCGGCGCGACACCTACGACACGTTTCTTGGCCTTCAGCATATCTCAGCCTCCGGCTTTCATGGACGTCACACGTTGGACGAAGAAGCTCGCCTTCCTTCCCCCTCCCTCCAGGAGCTGAAGATGCATGCTGCGGAAGCCCTGCCACTTTGCGGACATCCAGCAGATCTCGAAGAAGTGCGTTGCAAAGAAGGTGTAGACCTTCAGGTCCAGCAGCCTCTCGCACACGGCCACGCAAATCGCAAGGCCATCGGCCTTGGACTCCCCAGGCCAGGCCACTCTAGGCGCTTCGTCGTTCTCTACAAGACTCCCGAAAGAACTTGTGACAGACAACTTCGCGCAAAGCATACGAGAGAGGGCGGCCCTCACGGCGTCTACCGCGTCTGAGGACATGTGCTGCCAAGGCGCGTGAGCGGTTCCTCTGCCGAGCTCATCCACAAGCACCAAGCTCTGGGAAGTGATGTTCTTCAAAATGTGCGAAGCTTCCTTCATCTCCACCAGGAAGGATGACGCGCTGGCTTCGATGGAGTCGCTGGTGCCCATCCGCGTGAACAGCGAGGTTACCAGCCGGAAACTTGCATAGCCCTGTGAGAGAGAGAGAGAGAGAGAGAGAGAGAGAGAGAGAGAACGAGAGAACGAGAGAGAGAGAGAGAGTGAGAGAAACTTGCAGAAAGACCGCAAGAGTGACTCGTGCTTCGAAGGCTCCGCCGGGACGAAGGACCCGGTGTGCGCTAAGATGACTAATTGCGCCTAAGCGCGCTCTGGATCCAATCAGGCTTTCAGAGCCATGCAACTGCAGTCGAAGTTTCCATCGTCGCCAGGTATCTTGGCAAGCATGGGATGAACCCTGAAGCAGAAGCCCTGAACCACTTCAGTACAAGTATTTCGCAAACTTGGTTCATGCGGGCATTAGCGCCAGGAATCACGAGACTTCGAGCTTTGAAGGCTGGGTGCTGAGGGCTCTCTGAGGGCTCGGCGTGGATTTTCCTCCTCCATTGTGTCCTGTCTGCCGTTCAACCGACGAGTGCCGGGGCGCTTGGGCTCTCGGCCCGTTACGAGAACGTTAGCTGCTGCTAGCCGCTAGGCACTTCAAACTGCGGAAAACCCCCGACTCAAAACTCAAAACTCTGCAGGCTCTGCACCCCCCCAACCGCAACCACACTTTGCCGTAGCTTTACGTGGCCTGTGATGGTCTGGAAGTGGCAGGTTCCATCCACGAAGAAGTCCACAGGCTCAAAGCTTCCCAAGCGGTCCTTCGAGGAGTCGGAACTGTGCGAAAGCTGCGCTGTGCCGCTGTGCTCTGAGATGCCCTTGCTGTCCAGCAAAGGGTGGCGGCCCTCCTTGCAGAGCGCGGCGCAACAGAGACAAAATGGGGGCAAGCGGTGTTGGCTTCAGTCCGAGACATGTTTGCATTGAGGAGGCGGGGTCCAATTTTTTTTTGTGATTTTTTGTGGTTTTATTTGGATATGTTTTTATGGTTTTCTGCGCCTGGATTGTAGAAAACCCTGTAAGGGTCACGCGGAGGGGCCTGATTTTGGACTTTTTGGTTTTTTTTTTTAATGGTATTCTGGGCCTGGATTGTCGAGAACTTGCACCGTGTATGATGGATCTGGAACACTCCGAACTTTCAAGAAGAAACATGTGATTGACGCAATTCCTTCTTGACGAAGGGTTATGTGATTGACGGAATTCTTCTTGACGGCAAGCCATGCACGGCATAAAAAGAAAGTGGGCAGTTGGGGGGGGGTTGGGCGCAGCCCCCCAGTTGATATCTTTAACACGCGCCCGCATTCGGCGATAACCGTTCACCAAAAATCTTACACGCGCCCCCTCTTTTGGCGGTTCCGTTTCAACATATGTCTTTGACACGCCCCCTCTTTTGGTGATAACGGCTCATCATCTATCTTAAGCACGCCCCCTGATTCGGCGGCTCCGGTTCATCATTTATCTTAAACGGGCCCCCTCTCTTGGAGATTCCGAGTCTCGGGTACCCCATGCTCACTGGTTGCAGGTGCAAGGCCAGATCAACAGCCCGACTGACTATAGAGGATTGACGGACTGACAGACTGATTGACAGACAGCCAGACTGATTGACGGCTCGGTTGGCAGACGGACTGACCTCCTGACCGACTCACCACTGGACGACCGACTGACTGACTGACTGACCGCGCGGTTGGCAGACGGACTGACTGGCTGGCCGGCTGACTGACTGACCGCGCGGTTGGCTGACCGACTGACTGACTGACTGCCTGGCTGGCTGGCGGATTGACTGACGGACTCGCGTACCCACCGAACCGAAAACCATAAAGAATACCAACAAAAAACCATAAAACATACCCAAAAAGAGCCCCCAACCGAGCAGGCGCATGCTGCTGAAAGCGGCAAAGCACAATGCGAACGTTCTCGGTGCAAGGACAAGCCAGTCAGGCGGGAGCGCTCATCGCGAACACATGACTTCTCTCCTTTCGGGGTTAAGAGTGCTTTACAAAAGGGCCGTCTTCGTTGACAAGCTTCAAAGCATTGATGGGCAATTCCTATTCGCAGCTTGAACGGCGGGTGTTGCCACGAAGCTGGTTGGCCAAGGAAACTTCACAACAGCCGCCCATGTGCTGAGCATGATCAACAAACGCATGCGATGATGCAGCCCCTAGTGTGGCAACAATATGAGAGGTCACAACAGCTGATGTTGGACATGAGTCAGCAGCAAGTCCGTCTGCAATCCGTCATTCAGGTGTTGCGTGACTCGTTACCACCTCTAGACGCTCGGGATGTTCTCTTCAAAGAACGGGCAATACGACAAAGTGCTCAGCTGCTTTAATCTGAGAGTGGAAAACGTCATGCGGCGACTTCCGAACACGAAGGACTCGTGCGCGCTGCATTGCGCGGTTGCTCACATGCGACTGTACCGACGCTGCAGCTTCCGTACTGTACACCATGACTTCGCTGCTGAGGATGACAGGGAATGGCCGTTTGCCAGCGTCTGAATCAAGCATAGAAGAAGGTGATTTGGAGTTGGCGGGGCGGACAGGCGGACTACTATGCAGCGCGAAAAGCCAATGCCAGCGGCTCGCGTGTGCCTCGGTCGAGCCGACTCTGTCGAGCCGACGACGCCGCATGGCACTGAAAGGGCACGTTGCAAGGGCCATGGATGGCCATGGCCTGGCCCTACAGAGCCACGAGTCTCAGCAGACCTCGTACAGGCGGACCGTCGGATCCGTCGGACCCGCCCGAATTTGGGTCGTGCCCTCCTTCCTCTTGGAGCGGTGACGCGGTGTGCCTGTGCGGTTTTCTCTGGCCTCGCAACAAAGACCCTTTCCCACCTCAGGCCGCGTGCACTGCATGTCAAAGACTTTCCACGTGATGCTCAAGAGCGACATCCACTTCAATCGTGCTTATCGGAAAAAGCCCGGGAGCCATCAGTCACAGCATGAAATCCGATTTGCAGGCCGGCGAGTTCTAGATTCTAGAGTTTCTCACACCCGAACATTAATGCCAAGAGCTTTGAGATAGCCTAATATAGAAGGGCATGAGGGCATGAGGATGGGCTGCCCGTGCCCGCTCCTTGACGGCCATGGGGGCCTCCAGAGAGTCCGAGATCTCCGGCCGAACGCAGCTGGAGGAGAGAGCGTAGCCGGCGAAGGCTGCGAGGAGGTCCTCGCCGCGCGCCGCAGAAACGAAGGAGCCCCCCGCCGCGCCCCGCTTCGCAGCTCACTTGCGTTGCTCTCTGTCCAGGACCGCCACTGCCTGTGCGGCCCCGTGCAGCAGCGTGGCCTCGCCGGGCTCGCCGGGGGCGCTAAGAGAGAGAGAGAGAGCCGCTCGCGCCGCTGAGCCCACAGTGGGCCTCACTTCGGAGCTCCTGTGCTGTGCTCCAGCAGAGACAGGGGCAGCAGATGGAGCTCAAGGAGCAGTTTGAGCAGTTGGGCTCACGAAGGGTTAAGCGTCCTGGAGCAGGCCAGCAAGGACCTCCACCGTGCGCTTCCTCACACTCGGCCCGTCCGATATCTCGTATCGGCCTCGCATTCTGAGGACGCTGCAAGATCTCTGCTTCCGCTTGGCGCAGCTTGAAATTCTCCTTGAAGTCACTGCGCATTCTGTGCTTCCAGGCGGGCTGGGGGCTCTCTTGCTTCGCAGGGCACCGGGCCGATCTGAGCTCTTTGGTCGTGGATGCCAAGCGCGCGCTCGTCCCCTTCAGGCTGGTGTGAAAGAATTCGCTGGGAATCACCCCGTGCGCCGTGTGGGAAAGAAACCAACCTCGGCTGGCAGGCGGAACCGGAAGGCACAGTGCAGGCCGCACAGGCGGCACCAGGGGACACAGCGGGCTCTCTCCTCTCTCCTCTCCTCTGCGGGCTCGCCTCGCTTCTCGGCGAACTCGAGGCGCAGCTGCAGCTCCGGGTACTGCAGGGCCAAGGCGCGGTGCGCGTGCTGGATCGCCTGCATGGACTCGCTCCAGGCAGACCTGTCCGAAACGTCCGCGATCCGATCCGAGCAGCAAGTGGCGTCCCATATCACTCCCGCCTTGCCACATCCAGCCTCAGTCTCAGTTCTTTATAAAGCCAAGGGCCAGTCAGGAGTCAGGGCTCCGCAGAGTAAGTTCCCGGCAGGGCGCTGGCATTCGCTCTCACCGCGCACATCAAGGCGCAGTGCGCCAAGGAGCCTCTAGAGCGGCCAGCCGAGCCCCGGGCTCCCGCTCCGTCGTTCGACTCCAGCACGCGCTCCAGCTCCTCAAAGGGAAAACGCGCCGCCACGCGGCGTAAAGCCTCAGCCCCCCCGCCTTCCGGAGCTCGCCGAACCTCGGAGCAAAGCCAAAGCGCTGGCCGGGGGGCGCTTTGGCTCGGGACTGGCTCGGGCCCCAGGGCCCGCAGGGTTCGGGCCGGCGATGGCAAAGCAGTTGCCGCGCCTCTGCCAGGAGGCCTTCCTGTGCAGACACAGCGCACGTGTCGCGTGACACCAACATCTGTTTGCAACGATCTTGCTAATCAGCGCACTGCCTCAAAGGTTTTTGGAGTGAGGAACAAGCACGTCCTGCGTTCTAAGGTGCGGGTAAATGCCTCCGGCGCCGACTTCAGCAGATCTGCGAGCAGGGGAAGGGCCTTGAGTTGAGCACCGACGCAACCACTCGCTCTGCTTGTCTCTGCTCCCTGGGTCGCCCGGCGGCAAAGACGTTGCGTAAGCGGAGCGCCGTGCGCACGGTCACCTCCCGAGCACCACGTCACGGCCGCTGGGCCGCTGGGCCGCTGTGCGCTGCTGTGAGCTCCCGCCGCCTTACACCACTCGATGCCATGGCTGCCCTGACGGCCTGGCTCTCCCGTGAGCCGCGCCAAGAGCACATCCATGTCTCCCTCAGTCCGACAACGAGAGACATGCCAGCGCGGCCGGGGCCAGGGACGACGTCTGCCGTCTTCCTACTCAAAGATGTGAAAGATATATAATGATTGTGGAATGATTGTGCAGACAGTGCAAGCCATGGACAACATCAGCTGCCCGGAGAAGACGAGCGGGAAAGTTTGCGAGCCCTTCTCTTAGCTACACCCGTGAGGGAGGAGAGTGGAGAGCTGAGGAAAGAGCAAAGCATCTCTGAGGAATGGAAAATTTCAGCAAAGCCAGCCAGAGCTGGGGCCGGCGCGAGTGCTGGCAAGAGCTGCTGCGTCTGGAAGAAGAGCGCCTCGTCTCTGAGAAAAGCCTCCAAAGGAAGAGCCCAGATGCGCTGCGCAGCGCGTTCGTCTTCTACGCCATTTTTCCTATCTCAAAGACTTCAGCCCTTTGCCCGCCTCCACCGCTGCCTGCCTGGCCTCGGAGTGGAGGCGGCGATCAAACGCAGGGCTTCCGACGCGCTCTCCGGAAGCCTGGATCTCTTTCAGCTGCACGGAGGGTTGGAGCAAAGACCTGCAGAAGGAACTCGGAACTCCCCGCGAGCTAGACTTAGAAGGCTTCCACGGTTAACCATTTCTCTGTGAACATCCTCGGCCCGCAACTGCCGGAGCAGCTGCAAGCCGCCAGCCTCCGGCGTCCACGCGCTCGCCCAAGGCTCAGGAGCACTGACGCAAGTGTCTAGGATGCAGAATTATCCGCCGAGGCCACAGGCCCAGGCGTTTTGGTGGTTACCTCAGGTACCCTCCACCTAATCCTCCTCCCTGCAGTCCAAATGTTTGGGGACACCCTGTTTTTGCGCTCGTTTGCCACCCCCTTGCCCGGCCTCCCCTCATTTTCTTTGATTTGCGGGCCTACCCGCCCCCTCCCAGGCCTCCTCCCCCTCTTTTTTTCCCCCTCCCCCCCCCCTCGCCCCCCTCCCCTCCCCCCCTGAAACCATAAACCTATAAAGGGGTAGCTCTAACAGGTACCTACAGCAATGGCTGCATGCTCATACATATACATTCCGCTGCCCATTGGCTCACAGTGGTTTTACCATATTGAGACAAGACAAGCTCTCCTTGCGTAGCAAGACAAAACAACTACTGTCCGTGTGCAGGGCGCTGCCCTTTGATCCTTAGGGAATAACTGGTCATACACCTCCTTACAAGGAGTATCCCTTGGGGGTGTATCGGCACAGTTTTCTGGTAGCGGAGCCCGGAAAGGGCCGCCCGCCTCACAAAGTCCGCTACAGCGGTCGGCCTCGCCGAACGCTTAACCAAGCGGATAAGAGGCAGCACAATGTCGAGCTCGCATAGCGAAGCCGACGGCAGTTCCCAGTCCTCCGGGGGATATGAGAACGAAGAGACCTCCCAAGGTCCAGCTACTTATGTCGCACAGTCATATGCAACATCTGACCGCATGCTTGCATCATTAGGCATAACGCCCAAGATCGCGCCTGCCTATGATGGCACCACCTCGTGGTTTGAGTATGAACAGTTGATTGACGACTGGTGCGATATAACAACGCTGGATGATACCAAAAGAGGTCCGTCTCTCAAGACGAGGCTCTCCGGATTGGCCGCAGTACAAAAAGAATCACTCAACCGAGAAAGGCTTGCAGCCCCAGATGGAGTAGATTACTTCAAGAAGAAGATGCGTCCATTTTTCGTGAAAGGAGAACAGTACGTTTTCCTGTGGCGTTTCCTCGGCCTATTCAAGGCATGGAAGGGCAACCAAGACTTTGTGACTTGGATTGCTAAGTTTGAGATCGTGCTACAGCGCGTAAGAAACTCATGGATGGATCTCTTACCAGAGATAATTCTGGAAGATGCCCATCCGGATTTCATGCAGGCTGTGCAAGCAGATCAAACCTTCATGCGCCTACAGGATGCAACCGAGAGAGACACATACGCCGCACGTTTCTTCGAAACATGGAACAAGGAACGCCTTGATAATCATCGAAGAGCGTTTCCTCTAAATGATAATCTCCTAGCTCTCCTCTTCCTAGTGCAGTCCGACCTAAATGAGATGCAACGTGAGAGGTTGGTAACAGCATTGACCAACCAAGGTTACCGAATTGAGACCTACACGTACCCTATAGTACGGCAGACCATGTTCGATCAGTTCTCAACGACCAGAACTGGTCTGCAGGATCCCAATATTCGGCACACTTCTCACAAGAAGGACCGCCATGGAAGGAGAGATCAACGCCGCAAACGCGGAGGTCGAAACTTCCTCATCCTCGATCAGGGTGAATACGACGGAGTCGATGGATTCTGGCTCCAAGACGAAGACACCCTTGAGGAAGGCTTTCTTGCCGCCGAGGATGAAGAAGCTGTCTTCTGGACAGTTGACGACCATGAGGCCTTCGTTGCAAGGAGATTCAAAAAGGGAAGAAGACCAAGAATGCGTCCCGGATCACCGGGAAGAGCAAAGGGTGGCAAGCGAAAAGGACGTGGCCGTTTTAGGTCATACCGCGGAAAAGGGAGAGCCAACCAGGCAGAACATGATCCAACTGATTCCAGCTATTTCGGTAAAGGTAAAGGAAAAGAAAAAGGAAAAGGTGGAAAAGGCAAAGGAAAAGGAAAGGACAAAGGAGATAAAGGAAGCTCCTTCAAGGGTACAAAATCAAAAGGCAAAGGTAAGGATACAGCTAAGTCTGCCTCCTTACAAGGAGACCAAACTGGATCTCCACAGGCCTATGAAAGTTCCACCGCACCGAGCTGGGATTCATGGTATGAGGACAGTTATTATACTGACTCCAGTTGGAATTATGCCGCTTATGACGATCAAACGTCTTATACATACTATGCATCACAAGCCTCACGAAGAAAGACACGGAAAAAGAAGAGAAGAAATCAAGCAGGATCATCAGGTAGAGGCACAGATCCGAGCGCGCACCAAGAACCCGTGTACAACTCATCAGTGAGTTACGCGCCCCAGGTTTTTGAACCATCCGAGGGGCAAGGTGTGGAGACTGCAACAGCAGTGTTTCCGTTGCAGCACACCGTCCTATCTGCTCTCACCGAGCGGATCAATCTTGATAAGAGCCCTACCTTTGTCATTCTTGACTCTGGTTGTACTAGGGCTATGGGTTCCCGCTATGCGGTGAACAGGCTTATCAAGGCCGTGAAGCAACATGCCCCAGGCATGATTGATTTCACTTTTTCACCTTCGAACACGAAGTTCTCTTTCGCAGATAGTGAAACAGCTCTTATCAAGGAGCGTGTAACTCTATGGTTTAACACAACTCCAAGAAGAGATACAACCATAGAAGTTCTGGATCAGGGGAGAGTTCCCATTTTGTTCTCCATTGAACAGATGAGAAATCTAAGAATGACCCTCGAGTGTAGTCCAACAGCTGACCTAGCAACGTGTGAAGCTTTCGGTTTGTATAAAACCCCTCTTCCGATTAGTACCAATAACCATTTAGTATTGGACCTTCTAGGCTTTACTTCCACCAGGAAGTACCTCCCTAAGTCAGGTACGTCGTTCAGTGCGACGGAGACTGCTCTAGGAGCCAATAAGCCTTATGTTAGGATACCGGAAGGTCGCTGTCCAGCCTGTGCCGGACAGAAAAAGGCTCACACGTACCTTAAGGGTTGTGACAAAGCACCTGAGGGAGCAGCTGATCCACCACCGAAGAGGATTTCAGGGAAAAAGAAGCCTCTTCCATCTGATCCGGCAGAATCATCTGCCAAGAAACTTGATCCACCAGAATCATCTGGAGATGTTCCTGAGCCTTCCGGACCATCGGAACCTTCATCAGGCTCTAGAGACAAACCTGCAGAATCCTCTGCACCGCATGAACCTCCAGAAGAAGAAAGACTTGAGGTTCCATCTGCGAAGATAAAGACTCCAAAGGGTCTTAAAAACCTTCTGAAGAAAACCCGCAAATATGCGGACAAACCTCCTGTTGAAGAGAAGTCTACAGTCCCAGGAGCTGATGACGGGACGGAGGTAAGACCACTTGAGTCAAGAGAATACCCGGCTCCTGGCACAGACTCACCAACAGGTGAAGAGATTGTCGCAGAACCTTCGCCATCTCTTCCCATTGCTCTTCGCAGGATTCATGAGAAGCTTAAGGACCCTGTAGAACTCTACAAGCTTCACCTTAAGCACCGTCATATGAGTACGGATCAGTTCAAGCGACGCACAAAAGCCTTACAGATCCCAAAGGAGATCTACGAGCTATATGACCAACTGGTCAAAAAGTGTTCAGCCTGCCAGGAACATGTGAGAGCTCCTTCGAGAGCGAAGATTTCTGGTCTAAGATCAGAGACTTTCGGTGATCTCACCTTCGTAGATCACGGTGAGCTTCCAATTCCCGGCAAGGATAGTCGCTTAGTATTTCTTATTCTCTATGATGGAGCAACAAACTTGTTGACTGCCGAAGTAGTCCAGGATAAAGAAGAGCATACTACAATGTCGATTATGAATGACTACTTTGAAAAATTTCAGATCAACCCAAAGGTTGTAGTTGGAGATCAAGCATTCATGACTCCAAAAATGGAGGCTTATTACAATCGGCAGAATATCAAGCCTGTGGCAACAGGACCTGGAACACCATGGCCCAACAGGGCCGAAGCTGCTGTAAGATTGCTGAAGCATCAGATTAAGCTCATACTTCAGATCCTGAAGGATGGTGACCCGCAGTATAACGGAATCACCATGAAGTATGGCAACCTCGTTCGCCAAGCATGTTTGGCAAGAAACTCTTCGATTACCTACGGAGGAGTTACTCCTTTAGAAATGGCCTTTGGAAGGCGTCCTCGAGATGTTATAACACCAGAGAACGCTGATCCCAATCAGTTGACAGGTAATCCAACTGATACGGAAGTCACTGCGAGAGCCATTAAGGAGCTTGCCAACAGGGCTTACCAAGAGGCACGCCAATCTGATGATCTGCGTAGAGATCTTGCAGCCAGACTGTCAATGACCCAAGGACCTTTCTCTTTGGGAGATAAGGTTTTCTACTGGTCAGAAGATAAGTCTAAGATTGGATCCACTGGGTCCAAACATGGATCTTGGCTAAAAGGTAAGGTGATCTCCGAACTCGGAGGATCCATGGTAGGTGTGGATCTTGGAACACGCATCGTCCGTGTCAATATCTCAAAACTGAGGAAAAACTATGACATAACATCTGATGTGGAGATTCCTCTCGCGCCTGATGAGGAAACTCTGACGTCAGAAGGTTCTGACCACGCAAGTTGCATGGTCACCTTCGATGCTTCCCTGCAGTCGACAGACCTAACGATTCCACATCAAGAGTGTCACTGGCAGGTCACCAGTACTGGGAAGATTGATTTTCTAGAACTCTACGGCGGATCTCCCCGCATGAGTCACAAGGCTGCCCTATCAGGTCTTCGAGTAGGTCAGCCAGTCGATTTGCGTAGCGGTCTAGATCTTGAGCAACCGCAAGGTCGCTCCAATCTTCTTAGGATCATCAAGGAACAAGAACCTACTATTATTGTTATGTCACCGGACCATTCTCAGTGGTCTAGCTGGTACTCACAGTGGAAGAAAGGCTCTGCCAAGAGACTTTCTGTTTTAAAATTCTGTGAATCGGTCGCAGACCACCAAATGAAGCTCGGACGTTACTTTGTTCTTGAGAACCCATACTACAGCAGGCTCTGGTCTTCACCAGAA